TCTACACCTTGTTTTCTGTACTGAGATCAGGCCACCTCCAACTACAGTTTGTAAACACAAGGCACTATTTATTACATTAGCTGTAGGTATGAAATTGGCCATCACCATCACATATCCGTTTCAATAACACCCAAATAGAAAATGGCTCATTATTCAGTTATTGCAGCAAACATTTAGCAATGTTGATAGTTGGTGTAGATCAATTAGCACCCCTTTTAGTGATTAAATTATAATTAGTTTCATTAGTAAGCACTCTATATTCATTTACAGCTGCAGTATCTAAGCTTTGTCCACAAAGGTTAGTTTTCAGAAATAAAGGTAATCATGCCTGCTCCCACAGGCACAGCTAGTGACAATGACTTCTTATTGTATTGAGATTGTTGGTAGGGGCTCTTATGATGCAGTGCTAGTGTTCCTATTTATGGACTAGGAAGTCCAGGTACATGTCCCACCTGCTCCAGAGGTGTGTAATAACATCTCTGAACAGGTGGATTAAAAATTTTCTTGAGACCGTTAGATGCAGACTGGAAGTCACTTCATTGTCACTCTCAAATCCTATTGAGAAGCAGCTGCTGCAGGGGGTGATGAGGTCCCATCAGAGATTGCAGCCTGATGGTCTTCTGCAAGGACTCAGTTTGTAGTACAACCAGTTCCCACTGAGCCCCTTGGACTCCTCGTTTGTAGTGAATCAGATACAGCAGGGGAACTGTTAGGCTCGGACTCAGGATTGCGTGGGGAGGGACAGAGAGACAGGGACAACTGGAAAATGGCTGTTACTTACTAATCGCTGGTGCAGAGGACTGAGTGGCATCGTGGTATTGTCTCTGCTCAAATGTCCCTTGAATTTTCACCATCCCAGCTTGCACATTGAATAGCCAAGTGTGCAAGGTGCTGAGGTCAGAACCCACAAGGCAGCACAGAATTCCTATATTGTGGGAGCAGGCCATTCAGCCCATCGAATCCGCCCCAACCCTTTGAAAAGCATCCCACCCAGAACCATTCCTGTCTACCCCAATCGCTGTAACTCTGCATTTCCCATGGCTAATCCATCTAACCTGCACTTCTTTGGACTGTGGGAGAAAACCGGGGCACCTGGAGGAAACCCACACAGACATGGGGAGAATATGCAAACTTCACATTACACAGTTGCCGGGAGGTGGAATCGAACCTCAGTCCCTGGTGCTGTGAGGCAGCAGGGCTAACCACTGAGCCACCGTGCCACATGTGGTCAAGGAGGAAGTGCAAAACAAAAGCCAGCCCCCCACATGGCCCCATGAATTAAAGGTCTGGATGAAGAATCCTACCCACAACATGAGCCCTTTGTACACTCTCAATTCTGCTTTACTCTCCTTGGAAAGATAAAAAAAAGTCCAGTGTGTTGTCAGCTATGCAGGACTCTGCAGCTGAACTGCTGGTTAGGATTTTAGCTGGTTTAATTTCCACCTGGCATGTCTCTGCCATCGCAAAGGGATGGGTGTTGATCCACTATCAGTGTTTGTTGACCGTCCATTGGTCTTGCTCTCAGACTCCGGCATAGATTCATACAGGGAGATGAATGCTGATCAGCTGGGTGGAGCAAGGCTCAAATGGAGATAGAAATGAACAATGATCTCCCCATGTTCTTCGTCAAGTGCAATTTTGTCCATCCCTCTGAAAACACACACAATGTCCTATTGCAGCAGTACAGGAGATCAGAACAAGTCAACAGCTAACCTTTGTAAACCAAAGGCAGATACAAAACAACCATAAAAATGTTAAAAAAATCCTAATTAAATCTAGTCATCTTCTTCAAAGTATTCATTACACAATCTGAAAATGAGACAGTCACTTCACAGTGTAGTATTTAGACGGTACAAAAGGCATCTTGGAAACAGTGGCATCCACAATCTTCTTCCGAACCTCCACCTTTAATGGAGTGCCTGGCTTGCTGTACTCCGTATCCACATATCCCATGGCAATGTTCTGTTTCAGACAGGGAGAGGGGCATCCACTCGTCACCTCCCCTGAGAATGAATGGAAAGCAAGGCTAACAGGTTAGTATGTATTCCATATTCTTTCTTATCAGAACATAAGAAACTATGAAAAAGGAGCAGGAGTAGGCTATGTGGCCCAAAAGCCCTGCTCTGCCATTCAATAAGATCATGACTAATCTTTTCGTGCACCACAGCTCCACCTACCTGCCTGCTCACCATAACCCTTAATTCCTGTACTGTTCAAAATCTATCAGTTTTTGTTTAATTACTTTGCAAATAATCCTCAAATTCATTGAGAATTATTCTGCCATTCAGCAGGATTTTATGTACAAGGAATATATCGATCCCTAGTTCCCTGATCTCACTAACTCCTGACTGTCTGTATCCCACTGCTGAGGAGCAGGTTCAACCAGAGCATACCATTAAATAGAATGTGTTGCAGGGACTATTCCAACCAGTACAGGGGGCTGCCTGAATGGAGATTTTGCTGGCAACAAATAGTTGATTGTCTTTGATAACTGCTCACTATCACCAGGCCTTCTGCAGGCCAAAAACTTTGTGTTTGGTTCCCAGGTAATTGTACAGCTTGGGGTATGAACAGGATAGGCAGAAGAAATCAGTGGTCCTGAAAGGAAGGAGCTGAGTTTTTGCTCTGCAGTTTAGAAAGCACCTCAAGCCTGAAGATAGCTAGTTTATTTCCCCTCATCAGTTGCTGTAAGCTGTGATTTTAATCAGGAAGTCAGAGATTGTTCTAAGTGGGAGCCAGTCACCCTGTACCTCCTGCAAACAAGAAGTATCAAAAGGCCCATCTCAGCAAAACTTATGAACAAGGACCAGTGAACTGCCTTCCTAGTCTTGCCCTTTGCCCATAACACTCGTGCTTTTTTGTCTGTCTGTATGTGTGCCTAGAGGGGACATTTATAAAAGTTTTCACTAGTAGGGTCATAGGTCGATAGTTCATAATTGGTTATCTGTAGCTAGAACGTCCTTTCCTCCTAGCAGCTACAATGTGTTGACATCAAATGGACTTCAGCAGTTCAAGAAAGCAGCACACCAACTCTCAAAGAAAATGAAAGACAAGCAATAACTGTTGGCCTAGTCAGTGTCTCTATATCCCATGTAAGAATAAAAAGGGTCAATATTTTGTGATTAAGGGACAAATATTGACCAGGATGCTGGGGCAAAAGCCTCTATCTGCTCAGAATAATGCCATGAGTCCTTGTACTCCAAGCCAAGGAGATAGACAAGGCCTCAGTATAACCTCTCATCCAAACTACAATGGAAATTAGTTGGTGTTTGATGGAGATTAACTTAGAGTCTATGAGGACTGAGCAGGGGAGTGGGACTAACTGGATTGCCCTACGGAGAAGGTGGCATGACTTAGATGGATTGAATAGCCTACTAATAACTCTCTGGCTGCAGAAAATGCAATGTTCCTTCAGTATCACACTGGAATGTCAGCCTAGGCTATGTACTCGAGATTCTGGAGTGGGGTTCAAACACACACGCTTCTGACTCTGAGGCAAGAGTGCTATCCAGGTTTGGGTAGCCAGCAACATTTGCTTTAAACCAAGGGTCCAAGGATGGGCATACTGATGCTGTTCTGCAGCACTGACTTCTGCTACTGGATATAACCCTTAGCCCCTGCATTCCTTTCCCTTTCAAGTATTTAAACCCAATTTTTTTGAAGTTATAAGTGCAGTGTAATTCCGGATTCCCTACAATTGTTCTGACAGGGTACCCCACACGCTGCGCGGCTGCGATTCCAGAACTTACCAATGACTTTTCCGTCAAGGTTCAAAATTGGCGTGTGCTGCCTGACTGGGGGCCCGGCAGATGTCAGACCCACTCGTTTCCGTTTAGTTTTCTCTTTGATCTGTCTCAGGATGATCTCAGCTCCAGGAAAGTCTGCAGCAGCTCTCCGCTGCTTTCCTGAGGAGAGAGAGGAAGCAAAGGGAAAGAAGATTCCCAGATGATGAACTGGGCCCCGGCTCAGGGAATGGCAAAAACTATCTTTCTTGTCTGTGGAGGCAAACGCACAGAGCGCATAATATCCCTTCCTCAACAGTTATTGGCTGGTTAAAATACACGCACACGAGCTGTTGAGGGAACGAGCAAATCAAGGACCTTGGAGGTTGTGTGAGCGAGCAGGAGATGCGAGTAATGGCAGGTGTTACTCATGTGACCCAAAAAAAAAATCACCCTAAGTGACCGCAGAATACTAGTTCAAGTCCCATCAACTTTGAGAACTCGACTGAATTTCAAAATCTGGAAAATAAATTCTACTATGTGTAAAAGTGACCACATAATGGCGAGATTGTTGTAAATCTCCAACAGATTTGCTGACATCATCTGACCCTGCTCTGACCACCGACTTGGGTGGTATTCTCACCTAGAAGTCAGAAGTTTGGGCCCCAGTCCATATAACCCTGGCTCTGAATACAGGGTTTGTTACCTGGTGGGAGTACTTGTGTTGTAAAGGGTTGGGGGAGGGGGGGTTCACACTTTAGCCTTGGTTGAAGGTACACCTAAGATAGATTTTTATGAGGAATGCATTGGGAAACTACCTATATTCCTCCTCTGAGTAAGTGGTTCTTGAGTTAGGACCTGCCTGTGAGGCAGAATACAAGAGCTGTACTCTCCCAGTGTGAAGTCCATTAGACCTGAAGCCAGTGTGCCAGCTAAAACACTAGCAAATGTTTGACTGTCATTGTAACTTGCATTTACGTTAATGCTTTATTCTGATCACAATTGTTTCGACAGTGTCTCAGAAAATAACTGTCTGTACATTTTGCGAGATTGAGTATCGTTGGGATTTAAGAAGCTGAGCTTCACAAGTTGCAGTTTTTACACAGGCTCGCATTTTTTAAACAGTCTGGATTTGTAAATGGCACAAATATAGGTGGGAAGGCAAGTGGTAAGGATGGTACAAAAAGAGGCTGTGGAGGAATACAGACAGGTTAAGACAGTGGGGGAAAATGTGGCTGATAGAATATAATGTGGGAAAATTTGAGGTTATGCATTTTGGCAGGAAAAATAGAAGACCTGAAAAATTTCAATGGAGGAGGTCTGCAGAAAGCTACAGAACAAAGGGATTTGGGAGGCCTCGTGCATGAATCACAAAAAGCAGGGTTCCATGTACAGCAGGCAATAGGGAAGGGAAATGGAATGTTGGCCTTTATTTCCAAAGGGAATAGAGTGTAAAAGTAAGGATGTTTTGCCAAAACTGTACAAGGCACTAGTCAGACTGGAACACTGAACAGTTTTGAGCTCCTTATTGGAGGCAGTCCAAGGTTGACTAGATTGGCTTTATATTTATTGGAATTTAGAAGAATGAGAGGTGACCTTTTTGAAACATACAAGATTGTTAGTGGAATTGACATCTTAGATGTGGAAATGTTATTTCCCCTTGTGGGAGAGTCTAGGACCAGAGGGCATAATCTCAGAATAAGGGGTCACTCTTTTAAGACAGAGATGTGGAGGAATTTACTGTCTCAGAGGATAGTGAATTCATATAATTCTTTACCACAGAAGGCTGTTGAGGCTGGGTCATTAAGTATATTCAAGGCTGAGATAGTCAAACTTTTAAACAATAAGGAAATCTAGGATTATAGGAAAAAGGCAGGAAAGTGGAGCTGAGAATTTTCAAAACAGTTGTGCACAGCAAACTTGGTGGGCTGAATGGCCTGCTCTGCTCCTACATCTTATGGTCTTGAGGGAAGCCACCATAGCAGATCTGTCTTTTATGTGATCCCAGTGGTACCCCAACATGTCGGACTCTTCACTGCCCTCTGAAATGGCCTAAACAAACACTCAGCTGTATGGGTCAACTTGATAGTGAGACCAACATCCCAAAAACGAATAGAGAGTTTGGTCAGAGGGGGCATTCAGAGAGAGGAAGCTGGGCTCATCTATCAGATGACAACAAGCAAGAACTGGAAGAGCAGACGAAGTGAGACTTCTGGAAGCCAAACATATCCAGGACAGCTGTGCTGCAAGTATCGGTTCCTTCGGACTTGTTCATGCTCAGAATCACCGGGAGTCACTTAACATACATGCAGCTGAGAATAGTGAGTGACAACGCAGTGGGGGAGGAGGAGGAAGGCAGGTCAGCTCCAGGGATCCCGAGAGTCAGAAGCCATCGTAACAGCTATATGCACTTTACGTGACGTGGACCATGTAACTGAAAGCTTTAATAGAAACAGAAAATGCTGCAGATACTTAGCAGGTCAGGCAGCATCCGTGGATAGAGGAAAAACAGATTTAAATTCCCAAGTCAATAGCCTTTCAACAGAGCAGCCAGAAAAGCCAAAGAGATGGAAAATTAACCATTTCTCTCTCCACAGATGCTTCCTGAGCTGTTGAGGTATTTCCAAACATTTGCTGCTTTTGTTCAGACTTCCAGTATCTGCAGCATTTTGCTTTTGTGTAGGTATAAGCTTTACTTTTTCCATTAGGTGATTTTACACGAGAAGGATCGGCAACTGTGACGGAGATTCTCAAATGGTATCGTGCTTCTCGGATTCCTGATAAAAGGCCACGAGGAAGCAGAGCAGAAAGGAATACCCACTGGGAAGAGAAAGACATCACATAGTTGCAAAGTGGGTTAGGTACAAGTTTAAAGAGGATAACTCCTTGATTGTTTCACGACAGCAGTTAGGCATAATCAGGTTAGACACACCAGTCAGTGCTTGGAGGAGTTAAGTTTAGTTTTAAATTCCTCGAATGTGAATACCCGTTTTGGAGCAAAGCAAAACTGTTCAGATTGGATACGCTTAACCTAAACTAAATGGATATCAATAACCTAACAGATTTTAAATAATAGAGCTGGCACAGAAACAAACTGAGAATAAATCAAAATAGTAGGATTGGCTGAAGTGGAGGAAGGAAAAACGTTAGCAAAACAAAGTGAAATGTTCTGCAGAAGTTAGATACGTGATCACCAGTTAGGAAATTGGTCAAAGTGTGTCTTTGTAACCAAGCCTGGCTGATGCTGGACACTTGGACAAAGATATAGAAGAGAAACATGCAGCAACACTCAGTGAGGGATAGATCTGGCTGAAGTCTGGATCAGAATCTGTACAACGTATATATGTATATGCATGTAAAAATCTAAATAAATGCACTGAATCAAAGCATCAAGTGGTCAGGGACAACAAGGTGTAGAGCTGGATGAACACAGCAGGCCAAGCAGCATCATAGGAGCAGAAAGGCTCGCGCATCAAGTGGTCAGGGATGTTTTTCATTGTCTGGTTAGGAAGCTAGGTTACCATATCCTATATAGATACAGGGAATGGACAGGTGGAATACCTATGGTCCATAAAAGTGTTGCTTCCACTGGAGTGGTGGTCTCATCAATGTCATTTCCATACAGACAAAGCCCGGCCTCCAGGCGTAAGCTATCCCTCGACCCAAGGCCAGCAAGTTTCACCTCACTGTTCTTCAACAGCGACTCTGCCAGCTCCACTGTACGCTCAATAGGGACCGAGATCTACAATTTAAAGGCAAAAATATTAGAACTGTAGACATTGAGCACAGGAGGAGAGTCTCATTATATTGCTGCATCTCCATGCCAGAGCAATCAAAATTCAAATCCCTACCATCCCAAATTTATCCCCCATATCCTTGTTTCAAACCCAATGTAATCCCCACTGGCCTCCACTCTTCCCCCATATTCAACACAGTGCGGAGCTGGAGGAACACAGCAGGCAAGATCAGAGGAGCAGGAAAGTCGACGTTTCGGGTTCACACTCTTCATCAGGGTGTAAATCTGAAACGTCAACTTTCCTGCTCCGTTCCTCCAGCTCCACACTGTGTTGACTCTGACTCCAGCATCTGCAGTTCTTGCTATCTCCCACTCTTCTCCCACATCCCTGTATCAAACCCAATCTGATTCCCACTGCCCTACACTCTTCCCCCACTGCTCTGTATCAATCCCATCTAATTGTCACACTCTCCTCAGATCATCCGCCTGCATTTAAGACAGACATGAGCAATTTCTTCTCTCAGCGGGTTGTGAACCTGTGGAATTCTTTACTACATGGGACTGCTGAGGCTGTGTCATTAGGTGTATATTCAAGTAGAATCGTGCAGCATGGAAACAGACCTTTCAATCCAATTCATTCATATTTACCAAGTTTCCCAAACAAAACTAGTGCCACTTGACTGTGTTTAGCCTAAATCTCTCTAAACCTTTTCTATTCATGTACCTATCCAAATGTCTTTTAAATGCTGTAACTGTACCTGCATCTGCCACATGCCTCATGCCACATATGAACCACCCTCTGAAAAACTACATTAATGTATTTAAGTAATAGTCAGATTTTCAATCAGTAAGGAATCAAGGGCTATTCAGAAAAGGCGGGAAATTGAACTTGAGGATATTCAGATCAGCCATGATCTCATTGAATTACAGAGCTGACTCGATGGGCTGAATGGCCTACTTTTGCTCCTAATTCTTATGGTCCAACAGTGTTATGCAGAAAAAGAAATGTTACACAGTGAGATTTCACAATCTGGAAGGTAATACCCGATATGGTGGAGGAAGCAGATGCAGTACCTAACTGTCAAATGGAAATTAAATACTTGAAGAGGAGTCATTTGCTGGAGACATAGCACCTAATGATTCACACAAAAGATGTGCTCTATCACCATCTGGTGGAGCTGGTCAATCAGTGTAGCATTAAAACAGTCAATGATGAAGATGTATCTAAATGCATGGTAAAAACATTTCGGGAATGCTGACGTACAACCCTCTCGGATCTTCGTTCAACGCAAACTCGTATTTATTCAGTAACTTTAACAGTATAAAATGTTCCAAGGTGTTTCACAGGAGCATTATAGAATTATTTATTCATTTGACCCCGAGATATTAAGGTGATATCAAGTCAGATGATTAAACCTTAGCCAAAGTCACTGGTTTTAATGGAGTGTTTTAAAGGAATAAAATTAGGTGGGGAAGCAGGTAGGTTTTAAGGAGGGAATTCCAGAGTTTGGGACTGAGGCACCTTAAGGCACATCTACTAAATGGTGGGCAATTAAAATGTGGAATGGTCAGGTTTGAAGGAAACACAGCCAATATAAGTTAGAAGCATAAGCTGCTCATTTAGACCTGGAGCCTGTTCCATCATTCAATAAGATCATGGCTGATCTGTTTGTGTTCTGAATTCCACAGTCCCATCTACTCTTGTTAACCTTTGATTCCCTTGCCTATCCATCTCTGTCTTAGAAGTATTCAAACACCCAGATTCTACCAGTTTCTGAGGCACTGAGTTCCAAACTCGCACATCCCTCAGAGAAAAAAATTCTCCTCATCTGTTCTAAAAAGGTGAATCCTAATTTTAAAACAGTGCTCCTTAGTTCTGGACTCACCCACAAGAGGAAACGTCCTTTCATAATAAAGGAAAGCATTCCATTAGGTTTTGAATTACTTGTACCTGGATACTAACTTTTTGTGACTCGTACTAAAACAGCTAGATCCCTCTGTACCTCAGAATTTTCCAGTTGTTTTCTGTTTTATATTTCTTCCTGTCAAGGTGAACAACAAAGTGAAACAAGGGTATTGTGAGGGAGATGTTAGGGCATGAAAGTATCGTAGAATCATAGATCATAGAATCCCTACACAGTGTGGAAACAGGCCCTTTGGCCCAACAAGTCCACACTGACTCTCAGAGCATCCCACCCAGACCCTTCCCTCTATAACCCACCTAATCTACACATCCCTGAACATTACAGGCAATTTAGTGTGGCCAATCTACCTAGCCTGCACATCTTTGGACTGTGGGAGGAAACCGGAGCACCTGGAGAAAACCCACACAGACACGGGGAGAACG